TCCTGCAGTCCCTTCTCCCCCTGGGATCTTGGGCATGAATGCACCCATGCCTGGCTGTTTCAAGCCACCAGGCCCGGGACTCGAACCGCAGTCCATGCGGGGGTCCAGCCACATAACCATTACACCATCAGCTGGTCCCACCCGGCCGTTTCTGTGGGCAGAGCCAGCAGAGAGAAGCAGCTTCGTGGGTGCCCACACACCGTCCCCAGCCAGCCAGGGTCGGGGCCACGAGGGCTGACTGCAGACTCCCACCGCCTTCTCTTCCCGCCAGCCGGACCCCTTGACCTCCACCGGGACCCGGAGTGGCCTGTGGGCAGCTGTGGTTCTGGGGGTCGCTCTGGACAGGCGCAGCGCGGTGGTCAGTGTCACGGGGCATGGGCCACGTGGCGTCCACCCGGGCTGTCACTTTCCAGCCCAAGTACTGAGGACTGCTTGCCCGTCATGGGGCCAGGGTGGGCCTTGTGCAGTGTCCCAGGGCACGTGCGAGGCTCGCGTGGACAGAGAAGGGGCCGGGGGCATTGGTGCCTGCCTTTCCCTGCGGAGCCTCGGAGGGCCATGGGGGCCGTGGGACCTGCTGGCTCCTGAGCGTCGGGTGCAGGCGGGTCTCCATGCGGTCTGAGTCCAGTCCGAGTCCGACCAGGCCAGGCCCCCAGCCAGGAGGCCCGAGAGCTGGTGGAGCGAGCCGGGCCCCAGGCTAGCAAGTCCTGGGGGAGTGGGTGCACGGGGGCGCTGCGGCACCTCAGGCCAGGACGCCCCGGAGCAGCAGGGTCCACAGTGGCAGGCGGGGCACTGGGGCGTGTGGCTGCGTGTGCGCGGTTCTCCTGGGCGCCACAGGAGTGCGATGCGGCCCAGAGTGCGACTGTGCTGCCCCGTGGGGTCGCCCCACTGCACGGCCCCTCCCCCAGCCCCAGCGGGGATTCGGGACCCCCACCCCCATCCAGGTGAGGGTGGCGCTGGCTCCCTTTCCTGGGCCCCCTCAGAGCCAGCAGGCAGCACCCTCGCCTCCGACTTCCGCCCGGCGGGCACCAGGGTCAGGGTCAGGGTCAGCTAGGGGCCCCGAGCCAGGGTGAGCACCTCCAGGTGCGGGAAATGTGGGGGCAGGTCCTCCCTGAGTCCCAGGAGGCAGCCCCTGTGCGACCTGACCCCCGACCCCAGAGCTGCGTGGCCGTGCTCCCTGGGACTGTGGGCCAGGCAGGGGTGCCGGGCACGGGTGCAAGGCTCCTGGGGACTGAGCAGCAGACGCGCCAGCCCGCGGCCTCACGCTGCATGTCCGCCATCGCAGGGCGTCTCCGGGGCGTGGGCCGGTCGCCGGCCTCCCTCCCCCACTTCCCCTTTCTGCCACTTCCTCTTCCCCGTCCCCCACCCATGGCCCCACAGGTCCCACACGCCCACGGCCCCGAGGGGTCGGCCTGGGCTGAGCGGAGCCGGCACTCAGAGGCGGGGCGGCCAGTACAGGGTCTCGGAAGGAGCCCCCACGATGTGGGTGTGGACGAGGTCCAGATGAGCTGGTGGTCTCTGCTCACGTGGGGCTCCGGGAGGACCGGCACCCCCAGGAGCATTTTCCTGGGCCCTCACGGCGCCTTTGCAGACGGCCCCGGACAGGTCACCCGAGGGGACGCAGCAGCAGACGCTCACTCTGCCAGCCCCGGATGAGGGAGGGGCTGCCCCAGGACCCCCGCTCGAGTGGCGGCCGCATGCCCTGGCGTCCTGCGCTGTGGCCACGCCATCCCGCCTTTGTGGGTGTCCCTGGTTCTAAAAGTTTGCTTTTGCGTTTTCTTTTCTTTTTTTTTGAGGGAGAGAGTTTTGCTATAGGGAATGTGTACTCGCCGGAGAGACAGCGAGAAGTCATCCCCCTGGAGGGAAGGCCGCACCAGTCCCTTCTCCTCCATCCTCCTGGGGTCTTGGGCACGCACACACACGTGCCTGGTGTGAGTTTAAGCACTGGATCTGGGACTCCAACCACAGTCAACTATGTGGGAGTCTAGTGACGTAGCCATCATGCCATTTCTTGGTCCCAAATGTTTACATACTTGTCTCTCCTGAGAGAGAGATAGAGACAGGGAGAGAGAGCACCCCACAGGGCTCTGCCCCGGCTCGGCCATCCCAGCCATGGACACGCACACCCGCGTGTGCAGGGGAGCGGCAGGGCGTGAGCCCAGGGCTGTCCCGTGTGGCCCAGTGCGTCATTGCTGCCCCGTGTCTGGCCCGCCTTCGAGGACCCGCCCCGCGATGCCAGGGCCTGTTCACCCCCAGACCCTCACTGCACCTTCGCCGAGACCCTTTCCCGTCTGAGGTCACGTCCACAGGTTCTGGGACACAGCCGTGGGCAGCTCGGTGGAGCCACTGTGCAGCCCACCACGGTCACCGCAGCCCTGGTGGTCTCTTGGTCAGTGAGCACAGGCCCCAGGGGGACGTGGTTGCTCGGCCACTCTCAGTCCTCCAAGCCAGTCCGGCCACGCCACGTGGCAGTTCTGTTCACAGGGGACTTTTATGGAGCCCTTTCGGTAAAACGCCATGGAACTCCCTGAAGTCCAGGGGCCAGCAGGGGGCGTGGTGGTGAAGGGCACTGGACTCCCACATGGCTGACCACGGTTCGAGTCCCAGACCTGGCAACTTGCTTTGTCACTTTCTGTCTCTCTCTCACTCTGCCCCTCTCTGTCAAATTAAAATAAATAATTAATTAATTAATTAAAAATAAATAAAAAATACTCCCTACAGTCCACCAGCGGTGCTGTGGGCAAGGTACTGGCTCTCACGTGGCCACGACATGGTTCGTGTCCCAGACCCGGTGGCTTGAGAAACACGCCAGGTACACGTGTGTGCCCAACATCCCAGGAGGGACAGGAGCGCTTCCTCTCTCCCCGTCTCCAGCAAACACCTGTGCTCTCCAACAGAACCAAACCGAACCACGAAGTACGGTCCTCTGACCCCTGCCCACCGCCCTGACTCTCCCCCTCCGTTTCAGGTTTCGGGGAGCAGCCGTGGCCCCGCTGGGCTTTCTGTGACCTCGCGGGTCGGTGCAGACGCCAGGCGTCCTCCCGGGCGCTCCCCGCCAGCACACCAAGATGTCCGGCCCCTTCCTGAAGCAGGTCTTCAACAAGGACAAGACGTTCCGGCCCAAGCGCAAGTTCGAGCCGGGCACGCAGCGCTTCGAGCTGCACAAGAGGGCGCAGGCGTCCCTGAACGCCGGCCTGGACCTGCGGCTGGCCGTGCAGCTGCCCCCGGGCGAGGAGCTGCACGACTGGGTGGCTGTGCACGTCGTGGACTTCTTCAACCGCGTCAACCTCATCTACGGCACCATCAGCGACGGCTGCACCGAGCAGACCTGCCCCGTCATGTCGGGGGGCCCCAAGTACGAGTACCGCTGGCAGGACGAGCACAGGTTCCGGAAGCCCACGGCGCTGTCGGCACCCCAGTACATGGACCTGCTGATGGACTGGATCGAGGTGCAGATCAACAATGAGGAAGTCTTTCCCACCCACGTCGGTGAGCGGGCGGGGTCCCCCACGTCGGCGGACGGGCGGGCCGGGTCCCCCACATCGGTGAGCGGGCAGGGGTCCCCCACGGCCGCCCTCGGCGTCCAGGGCCGGGGACCTGCTGAGGCTGAGGAAGGACCGTCTGTGCCCGCCAGGCGCGGTCCCACGTCCTCACCCGCCCATCACTCGTGCATTCGTTTTAAGTTGACTTACTTCCGGGAGAGAGGGGAGGGAGAGGGAGGTGGAGAGACAGCGCCCCGTAGGGGTGAGACATTGAAATTCTTATTGGCAATAGCCTAAACTCTATAAATATCCCAATTGGCAGATCATATTATTTGTCATTTCTATCCTACTTGAGGATTAAGACTTTCTCCAATTTTTTAAATTGTAACTACTACTGGTTATTAAACACAGTGGTGGGCTAAATGTTATGCTTAGTACTTTAATTATAATTCTTAAAATCCTATAGTACTCTTTCTTTCATTTTATGATAAGAAATGCAAGGCTGGTGGCCAGCAGGTGGCACGAAGATTAAGGCACTGGATTCCCACGTGGCTGACCACTGTTCGAGTCCCAGCCCTGGTGGCTTGCTTTTTCACTTTCTCTCTCTCTGTATCTCTTTGTAGGTCTGCTACACACGTGGCCTATAGCAAAATTAAAATAATAATAATAAATTAAATTAAATAATCCTTCAAAAAAGAAAATAAATAAATAAAAGAAAACTAAGACTTAGAGAAATTGAGCAAGTTCCCCAAAATAGGACTTAGGTTTGTCTAACTGAATATAGGTTTATCTGACTTCAAAATCTACTTTCTTTACAACATGCTATACTTTTTTTAAAAATTTAACTTTACTTATTTACTTATTGTAATTTGACCAGAGAGGGGGAGGGGGGGGGGGGAGGGGGAGGGGGAGAGACAGCGCCCCGCCAGCCAGACCAGGGCCCGCGGGCCCGCCGTGTTCTGGGAGGTCTGGGTGCGAACCGAGAGGGGGCCACCCCCCACCAGCTGCCGTTCTGCGGGCTTGGTTTCCCGTTCTCCAAGGTTTTTGCCAGAGGGCGCGTGTGCTCGGAGGGAGGCAGTGAGCGCGTGCCCAGGGAGGAGGGCTGCAGCGGGCACCCCGGGTTCACTCCCGTCTGTCTCTGCCCGTCGAGTGCCCGTGCCCTCTGGCAAAACCCTGAGAAACCAGTGTATCTCAAGTGTGCGCTCAAAGTGCCCGGCTGCTGGTGCTGACACCCGGGACGCCCTGCCACCCCAGTAAACGCTGTCCCCGTGAGCAGTCGCCCAGCCCTCAGCCCCTCCCCGTCCCTGTGCGGTTCACACACCGGGGTCCCCGCGTGGCCTCTGTGTCTGCACCGCTCCTTCGGCATGGCATCTGCGTGCGCCCCGGGGTCTGCGCCCAGCTCCCGAGAACTCAAAGCTGGGGACGTCAGAGCAGGAAGGACCCTGAGCCTGTGCAAGGGGACGCTTTTTTTAGGGGGAGAGATTTTTGTTACAGGGCACATGCGCTCACCAGAAAGACAGACAGAAAGCGAGAAATCACCCCCCAGGGGGATGGTCACTCCATAATCCCTTCTCCTCCATTCTCCTCTCGGGATCATCGGCACACACGCACACGCGCCCGGCGTGAGTTTAAGCCACCGGATCCGGGACGCGAACCGTGGTCGACCACGTGGGAGTCCAGAGACAGACATTACGCTAACTGCTGGTCCCATGGGACACGCTTTTAATTGCACCGAGGACACGGCTGAGGGCACGGCCTGGGCGGGAGCGGGCAGTGGGCGAGGACCGGCGGCCCTTCCTCAGGTGGTTGCTCTCCCTGCCTCCTGGCCGGCCTCTGCCAGTGGCCACACGGGGTGGCAGGATGCTGCCGTTTGCCTGTCCCGGTCTGGCCCACGCACTCCCTCCAGCCCGGGGGGGGAAGGGGGCCTTTCGTATAGAGCGTGTGGCTGGTGGTTCAAGTGCCCCAGCCCGCCAGGCACCTGGCTGTGTGTGGCCGAGTGGTCGAGATGTCACCTTCTCCCTCCAGCCTCCTCCTCCTTGGGGTCGATGGTCCAGATTCCCAGCCATGCCGGCGGTCTGTCTCACCTCCGGCTCCACCGCATGATGCGGGGGCAGCCGCTCACGGCGTGGAGACAGTGCCATGTGCCAGCCACACGGCACTGACGGCCACGGGTGCCCTTGGGGTGCAGCCGCCACCGGTGAGAGGAGCAGGGGGTCCCCAGGCCCCCTTTCCAGACCTTCTCCCCGGTGGCTCTTACACAGCCCACGGCCACGGTGCCCCTGGTGGGACAGAAGCAGAGAAGCGTGGGTCTGCAGCGGAAGCCCTCGGAGGGCGGCCCGGCAGGAGCGTCCCCCCAGGGGCCGAGGTCCTCTCCAGGTCGCACCAGGACTGCCTCGCGGCGCCGCCCACGGGCTTTCAGAGGCTCCCAAGGACCCCACAGAGGGCTCAGCGTGCTCTCCCTGTCACACGGCAGAGGGCCTCAGAGCCCCGCTGGCCACGCAGGACTTGCGCGGGGCCCTCTCTGGAGCCCTGGTTCCGTCCTGACACGGTGCCGACCTGCAGATCCCACCAAGCACCGCCTGCGGGAGGTGCCGACAGGCGGATGCAGCGGGCCGCGGCCTGCAGCTCAAGTCGGCCGGACCCCATGGTGATCGTGGTTGAGCCCCGGGCCTGGTGGTGCGTGTGCGTGCACCTAAAGCCCCAGGAGGAGGGTGGAGGGGACCTCAGCGTGGCCACACCCCAGCGCTGCTCAAGGGTCCCACTCTGTCCAGCGAGCACAGGTGCCTGTGGAGGAATCCTAACGTCGAATCTGTGTCGCCACCTTCCTGCCTTACCCCCAAGGAGCTGGGTTACAAATGGCACTTACTTTCAGGGTGGGCCCTCGCGGCCTGAAAGCCACGCCCGGCATGTGCATATGTGCGCATGCCCCGGATCCCGGCAGGGTGGAGACTGGAGAAGGGGTTTTGGCATAACCATGCCCAACGGGGTGCTTTCTCTCTGGCGAGCACACACACTCTCTAATAATAATGTTTTAAAAAGGGGACCAGCAGTGGGCATAATGGCTACGTCACGGGACTCCCACATAGTCAACCACAGTTCAAGTCCCGGACCCGGTGGCTTAAACTCACGCCGGGCGCGTGTGCGTGTGTGCCCAAGATCCCGAGAGGAGAATGGAGGAGAAGGGATTGCGGCGTGGCCATCCCCCCTGGGGGTGATTTCTCCCTTTCTGTCTCTCTGTTTCTGTCTGTCTGGCGAGCACACGCGCCCTATAGCAAAAACCTCTCCAAAAAAAAATTTTTTTTTAAGTCTTGGGCCAGCAGGTGGCATGGTGGTTAAGGCAGCTGGATCCCACGTGGCCAACCACACTTTAAGCCCCAGAGCGGTGGCACGTGTTCACGCGTGCACGCGTGCCCCCAATCTTGACAGGACGGGGAAGAGTCGGGACTGTGGTGCCCACACGCGCGGGGGCCGCTCTGTCTCCCTCCCGCCTTTCGGGGACAGACGCATGTGCTGGCTGGCAGGAACAACAGCCATCCCCTTTTCTCCCGGAAAGTCGGAGGAGGAGCCTTATCTGTCTCAAGAGTCGGAAGAGACTTAGGTCCCGTCCGTGGGGAGCTCAGTATGGCCAGGTCGGACGCGCCCTGACTAGGTGCGTCCCCGGGGCTCCCGCCTCTGTGAGCGTCCCGCGGCCGGGGTGCCCGTGGGCATGGCCGGGAGGACGTGGCGGGCACACTGGCCCTGGGCCGGGCGGGGCCGGGCCGGGCGCCCCTCACGGCCCTCTCTGCAGGCACGCCGTTCCCCAAGAACTTCCTGCAGACGGTGCGCAAGATCCTGTCGCGGCTGTTCCGCGTGTTCGTGCACGTGTACATCCACCACTTCGACCGCATCTCCCAGCTGCGGTCCGAGGCGCACGTCAACACCTGCTACAAGCACTTCTACTACTTCGTCCGGGAGTTCGGCCTCATCGACACCAAGGAGCTGGAGCCCCTGGTGAGCCCTGGGGTGGGCACAGCGGCCCGGGAGGGCTCGGGGACCTCGGGCAGTCCCTTCGCTCTGCTCTCCTCGGGGTTCCGGGCGCGCACACGGGCTGCCGGGGCTGGGACTCGGACGTGCAGCAGGCCAGCTGACTTGATGCAAAAGGAGCTTTTAATTGCTCGTGCTTTTCCATTCCTTTTTTAATTTTGAGGAATCATTATCATTATTATTTTTAAATTTGCTACAGGGCACATGTGCTCATGGGGCGGGTCGTGATGAGAGCAAGCCAGCAGTCTGGGGCTTGAACCGTGGTCGACCATGTGGGAGTCCAGCGCCTTAACCACCATGCCACCTGCTGGCCCCAGTTTTTCCATTTTGAAGAAAGTTTACTATTTATTTCTTCCATGAGAGAGAGAGAAGTGGACAGACACACACCCCACTGGTCATCACGCTGTGACTGCAGCGGCCCGCCGGCCAGGGCTGCAGCGGTTCCGTGTTCTCCCCAGGGCGGCCCGGCCGGCACCAGGGCCCCTCGCGCGGGCCGCAGCGCCACCCCACTCCGCACACGTGCAGTGCCCCGGTCCTGCCCCAGCCCACGCACGCGCAGTGTGCCTTTCTGGAGTTTCGTCGCCCTGCCACTGGCCTGTCTGGCCTTTGCTGGTTTCGAGGTCCAGCAGAGCCGGGCCCCCGCCTCCTGCGCGTTCTCTCTGCGTGTGCTCTGGGCCCGGCCTGCACAGACGCCTGCACACACCCTGCATCCTGCTTGCTCTCGACAGAAAGAAATGACCGCGCGGATGTGCCACTGAGAGGGACGAGGGACGGCCCCCGGTGCAGACCTGGGTGAGCGCTCCTCCGCTGCGGGGGCCCGGGCCCGCCGCCCTGAGCCTCGCTGTCCTGTCCGGCAAGGGCCTGGACTGAACTTGAACTCTGCCCTTGCACCTAACTTCCACGGCCGGGAAAACCCACTGTGCGCTGGAACCACTGCCAGGCCGGGAGGCTGCGGGGAGTCCGCCCCGGCCCCGGCCTCTCCCCTTGGCCTGCGCTGCGCGGCCTCGGGCCGTCCGAATAGAGCCGCTGCCCTGTCCCTCTCCCCGGCCGGGGTGCCTGGGAAGGGGGCCCCAAGCCAGCCGGACCTGGGGCCTCGCAGAGGTACGCCATGGCCACCGCGCCCGCCCTGCTCTTCCGGATGCTCGGGCCCTTCCACTCTCCTCGCTGACCGCCCCGACCCCCAGGCCCGGCTGCCCACAGCTCCTCCTGGCCCGCAGATGTCTAGACAAGGCCTGCACCAATAAACAGGCCCTCCCGCCCCGTGCAGTGTGCACTCCACTGTCCCCTGTGTCCCCGGGGACCGGCCCACCTCTGCGCCTGCCCCTAACGCAGTGAGGGGCCAGAGCCCCAGGTCGCCCGCAAAGTGCAGGTGACAGGATCCTCCCCTTACCTGCGGGACAGCGACCCACCGACCACTGTCCCTGCGGACAGCAGGTAGCTGCCATGCCACCTCCGTGCCAGGCAGGCCAGCGAGGGGGCCGAGCGAGGAGGGGAGCAGCCACCCCGCAAGAGT